GGGCTAATAGTGGCCGTCCTAGGACTAATCTCTGTTGGCATCTCTGAGCAGAAGAGTCATTAATCTTTAGTGCCACCTCTAAAACCAGGTAGAGTATCAGATAGGTAAAGAGTCAATAGAAACTCCCGTTCAGTGCTTTGGAGACTGTCAGCATCTGAGGAAAGGAGCGGGTGTGCCCCACTTTCTGTATATCCACTGGTTTCCTTCTGCTCTCCTATAAGAAAGCCAGGGTAGGGCTGTCGGTATTACAGGGATTGGCTCCTCTCTCCTGCTTTCTCAGTCTCATCAATTTCTATTCTGTCTACTGCTTCTACCATAGCTCTACTGTCAGAGTTACTTCTTTGTTCATAACAACCATAAATAAGTAAACATTTCAGGAAAGAATGGGGGTGGCAGGTGGGAAGCTGGAGTACAATTGCTGAGATGATGTGGTATCCAGTGTGCCCTCCTTTCTTTCTTTTCTGGAAGTCCCTGCTCCAGGCCAGGCTGGGGCACATGAAAATAAGCAGGTGTGAGCTATGAGGCAGATAGCAGAGACCGTAGACATGTAGGTTGTTCTAACTTCCAGATATGTGGAGGCCAACAGGTCAGGAAGATTGCCATCTTTAAGTGGCTCATTGTTCATAGTGCCCTAGAAAAAAGGGGGTGTCCACCCAGCAGAGCCTCATAGGGAACCAGCAGTGTCAATGAGGAGATGGAGGATGCCAAGGAAAGGATGGACCACACAGGCTAAGCAGGCTAAGCAGGTTAAGCAGACTAGGCCTGATACTAGCACTCTGATATCTTGAAACTCTCCTCAGTGGTCTGATACCTGGCCCTGGGTGTCACCTGGGGAGACTTGTACTGGGCATCAGTGCCCTACATTGTAATAGCCTTATACACGAGGTATTGGGGTTTCTGGATTTGCTAGCTTACATTTGGATGATGCAATCATGGGGACATCATTTGCTATCTTTAGGAATGAGCTCACCCTGGGAGGTGGGGCTCACAGTCCAGGATCAGCAAGGCTCTGGGAGGAGAAGCATCAGCAACCATCAGTTAGTGCAGACTGAAAGAGAGAGAGACTGGCATTGGAGGGAGGACTACAGAGGGAATACTTAGGACATTCTAAGGAGAAGCCACTCTGCTTTGATTGGTTTGGTTCTGTTCGGGTTTTTGAAGGAACGGATTAAAGAGAGGGAGAAAAATCAAAACAGTCTCAGTGTCAAGAGAGAACATGTGGCTGGTTCACCACAGATGAGTCCAGACAGTTGGGTTTGAGGCTGGTGGAGGCAGTGAGTCCTGCATGGACAGAAAGTACAAAGAATCATTAAAGGTTCAAGCAAGGCCCAAGTTAACTCCTAAATACCAGACAGGGGCATTTGGATTAGATTCCCAAGCATCTGGCTCCTATACTTTAAATGCCTGTGTGTGGCTATGTGTCAAAGAAGTAATCGTCAGGTTAGGAGGTGGTGATAAATTATTGTGGCCGAAGAAAAGAAACCCATCCATGAAGGGTGTGGTAGTTTGAATGAAAATGGCTCCCATAGGATCCTAGGGAGTGGCTCTATTGGATGTGTGGTTTTGCTGGAGTTGGTGTTTGAGGAAGTATGTCACTAGAGGCAGACTTGAGGTTTCAGAAGCTCAAGCCAGGCCCAGTGACTCACTCTCTTCCTGCTGTCTGCTAAGATGTAGAAGTCTGAGCTTCCTCCAGGACCATGTCTGGTGGCTATGCTTCCTGTCATAATGATAATGGACTAAACCTCTGAATGTAAGACAGCCCCAATTAAATGCTTTCTTTTATAAGAGTTTCCATGGTCGTGATGTCTCTTCACAACTATAGAAGACCGTCTAAGGCAATGGGGCTAGAAACCCAGTACCTCCTGAGCCATCAGTTAAACTCAGTGAGTGGATGGCACTCTGAAGGTTTGCAGGGCAGAGATAACTATGCCCTGAGCAAACAGTTTGGTGGCCCTAAAGCCCCGCACACCCCATCATGAGAGCAGACTCCACAGCTGTTGGATCATTCCATTTTACAAAGACTATCTAAAAATATATGCATATATCCTTGTAAAACCTCTCAAGTTTATGAAATCACCTAGAATCCTGCAGTAGATTGGCCGATCTCCCTGCCACATGAAGAGATATAGTCTGAGGCCTGCTGTGTGGACTCTTGGTGGTCTCTCTGGCCCGTGCCTATTACCATATTGAACTATAAGAGTCAAAGAGGAAGTGGGACCATCACAAATCACACCGGGAAACTGATTGTATTAGTTTTGTTTTCTTTTGCTGTGATCAAACACCCTCGGGAGAAAAAGCAACTGAAGGAAGAAAGGGTTTATTTTAGCTCCTGGTTTAAACATCAGTCGATCATGGTGGGGAAGGCTCAGCACTGGGAGCCATGGTGGGGAGGGCTTGGCACTGGGAGCCGTGATGGGGAGGGCTTGGCACTGGGAGCCATGGTGGGGAGGGCGTGACACAGGGGGCGTGAGGAAGCTGGTCACACTGTTTCTTGTAGTACAGAAGAAGGAAGTGATAAATACCTCTGCTAGCTTTCTCTGTCTTATGCAGTCTTGGAGCCCAGGCCATGGAATGGTGCTCATATTCAGGGTGGGTCTCCCACCTCAGTAACCCTAATCTAGAGAATCCCTCACAGGTTTGCCCAGAGTCTCGTCTCCTAGGTGACTCTAGATCCTGCCACGTTGTCAACAAGTTGGCAGCTGCTTACCCCCACACTGATCTAGCATCCAACAAACCTTCCTTGAGGTCTTGACCAGGCCACTCTGCCATGTTTGCCTGTGTTTCTTCATCTGAAAAACCCATTCATTCCATATTGTGTATCTGTTGTGTGCTGTGCCAAAGCAAAGACTTGCTTGAAGAAACAGAAACTTCGGTGGAACTCTATTTAAAATTGTACGGCTATCATGATTTTTCAGCAAATCAAGATCTAAAAGATGTTGTTATTGATCATTTCCTTTGCCATCTCTGTGTGAGTAGAGTACCCTGAAATGATATTTTGGAAATCCAAGATGAAATACTGGTGATTGACAGGGATGGAAGGCTGGGCCATCATAACTGGGTCTTCTCTGTGTTCTGGGCTATGAGCTCCATATCTGGGACTTGACCTTGAACATGGCAGGTGCCCAGAATCTAATATACTGGTGGCACAGCTGTCTCCCAGAGGAGTGGGCTGCATATGGCCATGTCTAGTGTGAAAATTGGGCTTTAATAATTGCAAATAAACCTACAGTAGAATTATAAAACAGAATTAAAACTCTAGAGAGTGGGGACAAATAGAACATTTTAAGTAACTGCATGAGACCATTTATGCTGCTATGACAAAAACACAATAGATGGGGTAAACTTAAACAATAAGCATCTATGTCTTGTGGTTCTGGGTCTTGTGGTTGGAATGCCAAGGTCCAAGAACCGGCAGATTCAGTGTCTGTGTAGTTTGTCTTCTGATCTGTCCTCTTGAGTGTCCTTACCTGACCTTCCTGCAACACACTGAGTTGAAGGAGGGTTTGCTGGGTAAATCAGATTAGCACCCCACCCTTATGACTTCATTTAACCTTAGTTACTTCCTAAAAGCCCTATCTCCAAATAGTCACTTGGGAATTAGGGCTTCAGTGTATGAATTTTGTGGGGACACAATTCAGTCCATAGCAATAACCTAACATTATGATGATACCCTTATTGAAAATGAAGTTTCTTTTTCTATTTTTGGACTCATCATGCTCCAGCTGGAACTGAGAGGTTACCCTGCATACTGCTCAACCTCTCATTTGAGACCGTGCCCTGCTGTGGTTGGGTGGAGATGGTGTGGGCGAAAGGGCATGGACCAAGGGCAGGGGATAATAGTGTTCCTGGGACAACCGTCTGGAGTGGTCAGACTGTGCCCAGGGATGTCTGCTCACTCTGCTTGTAGCGTTCTGGCCCAGTGTATGCCTGCGTTGGTTTGCCTTCTCCCCTCCCACATGTCTGACACAGACAAGTTGTGATTTGTAAATGCCTTATGCCAATGACTCTCAACCTTCCTGATGCTGCGATCCTTTAATACAGTTCCCCATGTTGTGGTGATCCCAACCATAAAATCAAGTTTGTTGCTACTTTAAAACTGTAACTTTGCTACTGTTACGAATCATAATATGGATATCTGATATGCAGATAACTGATGTGACCCTCAAAGGTGCAAAAATTAAAACTTTGAAAAATTTGCTTGTAAGTGCATGGGTATCCTTGGCTCAATAGTGTCTATAACATAGGTTTGCTTTGGATGTTTGATAACGTGTGTGTGTGTGTGTGTGTTTAAGCTGTTATTTTTTAAAAATAAAAACTAAGTTCATGGCTACTTCAAAGCAGAATATCATCAACCCGAGTCAGAGAGTATTGGCCGGCACCAGGGTTTGCCCATGGGCATTGCTACAGGGACAGTCCCAGGAAGTGCATTGAGGAAAGACATGAGATGCACCTGCCTCCAAGTGCCCTGCAGCCACTGTAACAAGACACAGGGGCTTCAGTTGAATACTATGCCACGCAGCACTGCAGGGGACTTAGGAGGGCTGAGAGTAATGATCTACCTGTGCATCTGACAGCCGCGCGGAGGCCACCACCACCCTCCTTGTTGAGAATGTCCATTTGAAATATGTTCTAGGCTACGGCTCCTGTCCTATTAATTATGTTACAAACCTAGTAAAGCTGAATAATTAATGATCGTGGGGCACTTGAAGCTCGGAAATGTCATGTAAATGTTAAGGAGTACAAATTACTCCATGTAGTAGATAGATCTGTTTTGCCTTCCACATATACCATGGTGGGAAGGTTCATTTCTAGGAAAACTAAAAAACTTGCTTGGGGTTTTCCTCGGACGGTTGGACTATCTTAACTTACTGCCTTAACCGCATTTTAGGAGATTTGGGTTTCTGTATCCTGCAGCGTTTGAAACATCACTGGCAGCTATGAAGATAAAGTTACCTACTTACTGCGTTTTGGTAAAAGTCATGTTTGTTCCTTTTCTCTAGCCGAAGGCAGTTTGGGCCCAAGGGCAAAGAAGAGGTGAGGATCATCGAGCACCAGATGCAGGCGCTCAGGCTGATGTCTCACCTGGCCACCGCACTGGCCCTGACCTTCACAAGCAGGTGAGCTGGCTCTGGGAGTGCTTCTCCCCCAGGAGAAACTGTAACAGATTTGAGCAGTTAAAATGTTTCCAACTTCTGGTAAAGTTTCTAAACGGAGGATAAAGCTCTGAAGACTTGATCAAGGCATGTGTGGTGAGCGTGTGTCGGGGAAGAGGCGGGTCGCTGAATGAAATAGCAGAAATGATGCTGTACTTGCACAAGCACGCTCCCCTTCACCGCAAGCTCTTACAAACTCTGCTTTAGATTGATTGATTTTATGTGTATGAGTGTTTTACCTAAATGTATGGATGTGCCCTGCACATGTACCTGGTACTACGTGTGTGACTGGTACCTGACAGGGACTAAGGAGGGCATCCCATACTGGAACTGGGGTTACAGATGTTCTGAACTGTCATGTGGATATGGAACCAAACCTGGGTCCCCCAAAAGAGCAGCAAGCTGCCCGGCTATCTCTCCAGTGGTCACCAAAGGCTTTAATAGATTGATGCCTTCAGATGCTCTGTCTCCCAGCAGCACTCGGGCAGGACCTGGGCTGTGTGTTCTGTGTCATTGTCACCCCTAACATCCTAAAGACAAGGAACTTGAAGGTTTGTCTAAGATGACAAGGACCCAGAAGGATGTGGACAGGGAAAAGAACATCAAACTTTACATCTTTCTCCTGTGTTCTTTTTTTTTTTCTAGGATGCTAATTCTGTTTCTCAGTGGGTTTGCTGCAGAGGGTACCTTACAGCCTCTCACTTGTTGGAAAATTTACACACTGATGAGTGTGTTCTGGGTTTTATAGGACGATGGGCATCAGAGAAACTTTGCCCTGTCTTCTGTACTGCTGATCTGTGGGGTGCCACAGTCCTTAGGCCTGTGGAGGAGGGGGCCTTCTCATAACATGAGGCAGGGAATGGAAGTCCAGGACTCCAGAAAGTACCAAGGATGAATTCTGTGGCAGGCAAAACAAGCTACCTGAGAAAACAAGCTCACATCCAACATCTGATACTTAAAATTTTCTGAATTTTTTCTTCCCTTACTGGGGCATCCTGCTACTCTGTTGCTGTGATAAATTACTAACCAAAAGCAAACTGGGGGAGAAAGGGTCTCTTTGGCTCACACTTCTCTAGACAAATCCATCACTGAGGGGAGTCAGGGCAGCAGCTAGAGAGGGGCACTGCTGACTGGCTTGCTCCCCAAGGCTTGCTCAGCTGCCTTTCTCATACAAGCCTGGACCACCTGCCCAGGAGTGGCACCACCCACAGTGGGCTGGGCCCTCCCATATCAACCATCTTTCAAAAAAAAAAAATGGCCACAGACTTGCTTACAGGCCAGTTTGATGAAGGTGCTCCCTCTTCTCAGCTGACTCGATTTTACGTCATGTTGACAAAAACTAACACAGGATTAGGCTGCTGCATATGCTGGGCGCACGGGATTAGACCTTAGGCTGCTGCACACGCTAAGCTAGTGTTATACCACTAAACTACTAGCTCAGCTCTAGCTCTGAATAATTTTGAGACTCAGTTTGGATAGAGTAAAATGCTCAAATTGCCGTGTATCATTTAGTGAGTCTAAGCAAATATGAACAGCTGTGTAACAAACATCCCTACTGAGTATGAACCATTTTTATCACCCTGGGAAGCTTCCTGGATCCCTTGAAGTTGAACCGCATGTCACCACTGTAGCTGAAAAAACACACATTCTGATTTCTATTCCTGTTGCTTAGTTTTGTTTGCTCCAGCTGAGAGAGGCCCCTGTTCTAGCTTTGGGTTTCAAGGTGAGAAATGACAAGGGATTAATGTTAATTAATGCCAAATCACAGAGCCATTCTTGTGTGACGTGTGGTGCTGTATTGTTGAACACATCACCAATCCAATTGCTCCATGGCCTTCTAAATTCCTAACTATATATTGCCTGTTTGTCATGTGTATGAGGAGGTCAGAGGTCAACCTCAGAGGCCTCGCTCCCTTCAGCTTCTAAGAAAGTAGCCAGTCCAGTTCACTGTGGCGTGGCCAAAATTGTGCTGGCTTCTCCCCTCCTCCTCTTTTCATTTTCCTTCTCCATACAGGTTATCAGACTGTGGGATTTGAGTTCCAACTTTGATGGAGGTGTGCTGCTGCCAACTGGCCTCACATTTTAGGGACTGGGTACCTTGAGGCTTGATTGGTGAAATGCTCAGAGCTTTGGGTTCTCCTCAAACAGTGGGATGGGCCAGGTCTTTAGGTATCCAAGCCGGGTGTTAGTAAGCAGCAAAAACGCTCTGCAGCCCGGGTCAGCTGGCCCCGCCTGTCCCCCTGTGTCTTGTAATAAGTCTTGAGTGGTCAGAAAGGCACAACAGAGGTGAAGTGGCATGGGCTTTTCTGGGGTTACGTAACTCGATCCCACCATTTGCTATGTGTGTGGCTTGGAATTCTGTCTCAACTCCGCATACAAAATAGTAATAATAAAACCCGACTTAGGGGCCTTTTGTAAAGATCAAATGAGTGAGGATTTGGATGTGCTCAGAGGAAAATGCTGAATGCTCAATCATGTGGGTTGTTGTGGCCATTACCCGCAAGATTCCCCAAACATTGTCCTTTTTAATCTGAGCGTTCATGTTTATGTCAGCATTAGTCACGGCTATGGAGTCAACCTTATTGTACATGAACTGAGGGATGGAGAAAATGCAGTACGTAGTCCCCAGACCTCTGTTCTCCACCCTGCCAATCCCACCTCCTGACAGTCTGTTCTCCTTCCCCTGTCACCCCAGCTGACCTCTTCAGTCCTACACTCTTGCCATCCACCTCCAACCCGGACCTCTTCACAGACCTCACCAGCAGCCTCTTGCCTGTGACGAAGTCTGAGCGCTCACTGGTGGCTCTCCTCGCGTGGGCTGTACTGCTGGACTCCAAGCTCAGTCCCTGAGCTCTCGATCCTCCCATCGGGTCCCTCCTATAGGTGCACTCCATGTCCCTGCAGCACCTGTCCCTCACACTCTTGCTTTCCTGTACTCGGACAGTCACCTTCTTAGACAAAGCTCTTCCGAGTGACTCTGAGAATAAGGAGTGGCCTAGTCCACTCTATCATCACACCAGCGTTCTTGGTTGAGGACTTGACTCCTGTGAGCATAGCAGTTGTGGGTCCATGGTTTGGCATCTTCCTATCTCACAGTGCCTGACTCTTCATAGGTTAATTCAACAAAGGAGTGAAATGACCTTGTTCAATGACATCTTATTTGACTGAGGAGGTGGTTAGTTTTGCATTTAAACCATTCTGCTAGTGTGTGGAGCAGGGATTCCATGTTGTGAAATTGCTGGCCAGGGAAGATGGTGACTGATAGCTCCCTTTGGAACCATCTAGAGAGATTTGCTGTAGAAAGAAAATCTCCTAGTTTTGAAAGAAACTAGCAACTTTTAAATAATGCTATTTGCAGTGCACCAGCTCAAAAGACTGTTGGGGTCTGCCTCTTATTTACTCCTGAACTGAATGGGCATCTCAAGCAGTCCAGGCTTGGCTCCAGACCAGGGGAGAAGGGAAGGGTGTAGAAATGCTAATATCTCTGTCTTTCAGCCGGATTCAGTCATTTAGAGAATTTTTTTCCACTCAGCACCTGTGAGGATAAATTTCAGATAAATACTAGTGCATATTCAAGTGTGTATAGTGTAGCAAGCCCTTAGGATGTAGTTGGCCACGTTGGCACTAGTTCTGTAGGCAGAGGTTGCTTGTTCGTTTTCCCACAGCCCAGACCCGAAATGATCACACAGAACTGTATTAAAACACTCCTTGGCCAATAGCTTAAGCATATTTCTAGCCAGCTCTTACATCTTAAATTAGCACATTTCTATTATTCTATACTTTACCACGAGGCTTGTGGCTTACTGGCAAGGTTCTGGCAGGCGGACAGGTGTCTGGAGGCTATGTGGCATCTCCTCTGCTCCATTACTCTCCTCCCTACATCTCTGTTCTGATTTCCTGCCTGTCTTTACTCTGTTAAGGCATTGGCCGAAAGTAGCTTTTTTATTAACCAATGGCAATAAAGCATATTTACAGCATACAGAGTGGGAATCCCACATCAATGTACGGGCTCATTCAACATCTCAAGACAGCTCAACAGAGCAGAGGTGTGTGTGTGTTCAAATGCAGAGGCCAGAGGAGCACATTGGGTGTCTTCTTCCATCTCCACTTTATTTACTTGAAACAAAGTCTCCCAGTGAATGGGAAGCTCGCTATTTTGGCTAGGCAGGCTGGCCCGCAAGCCCTGGGGACCTGCTTGCTTCTGCTATACCAGCCATTTCATTGCTACATGGCTACATACATGAGAGAAAAGAAGTCATGTGCCTCCTTTGAGATGTCCACACACATTTTCATAGTCATTTTGTCTGTAATGGTTCCAGACAGGAAGTAACTGAAATGCTCACTGACAAGCAAATACACAGCTGAAGTGTAGTCTCTGCACTACACAGAATGGAATAGTGGTTGGCAGGAGAAATTAACAGTGCCTGGCATGTGCTTGTAACAAGGATAAGTCTCAAAATAACACTAATGGAAACAAGGAAGGCACAATTCATACTGTACAGTCTACTGTAAGTCTATAGTGAGTGGCAGAGAGCATGTCCTTGGTGACCTTGGGATGCGACTGGAGGGAGGGATAGACTGCAGAAGCATGTGGGGTAATTTTGGGGTGCTGTTGAAACTGTTTTGTGGACTGATCATCTCACAAGAATGTGTAGCCATCAAATCTGTATACTTTGAATGAATCCTAAATTATTCCTCAATAATGGTGATAAGAAAAAACTTTAAGATAAAACTAATAATGAAAATTATGACGTGTAGAAAAGAAGCTATTCCTCTCTGCATAAGCTATATTTTCTATCCCTCCTTCTTCACTGATAAACATATTGGTGGCGTAATGGACAGTAAAATGACATGGAAATGCACTGTGTGGGCAAACATTCCTGCATTGCCTACACATGACACACATGAGGGAAGCAGATAGCTAGAATACATCACTGAAATAATGTAGTGTGTGCCAGTTAATGGACCCAGTTTAGCCTGTCTTCTGGGGACCCTGTGATGACAATGTGGAGGGGCCCAGCTCACAGTGGGTGGTGTCACCCCTTAGCATGTAGTCCAGTGTCATATAGGAAAGCTGGCTGACAGAAGCAGGAGAGAGCCAGTGTGCAGCTTCCTCCATGGTTTTTCTGCTCTGGGTTCCTGCTATGAATTCCTGCTCTGACTCACTTGGTGATGGACTTGGTGATGATCTGGAAGTGTGAGCCAAATAAACCCTTTCATCCCCAAGTTACCTTTGGTCATGGTGTTTATCTCGCAAACCAGTATGTGTTTAAAAGTTAACTGTGGCTCTCTGGTTTCTCTTCAGAGCATATAAATATTTTTCCTTTTATAAGTTAATGATGGGATACAATGGGTAGAATTAAATAAGACAGGAATAGGGGGAATTGAACCAAAAATGTAGGAGTAAACAGCAAATAGTTTCAGAGTAAAAGTTTTAAACTCATTTTGTTGAGAGTTCCAAAATGGCTACCTAAACAAGACCCAAACAATGCTAACAGCAGTCAACATCCCGAAGCGGACAGGGGAAATATCACAGGATTCCACGTGAGCACTCTTCAGTGTACTAGTCTAGAAATTTCCAGTAAGATTTAGATCCTGACAAGACGGTTCCTCACTTAGCATGTTGGCCACCTTGACTTTAATGCTCTTATCTAGGACCTTTCCTGTGCCCTAGAGTTTGGCTGACTATAGAGTTTAGGAAAATATTTACACCAAACATTAGTTATGCGATAATATGTTCAACGAAACTGAACATGAGGCCACACTAAAGGTAGTCCAAGAAGAGAGAAAAGGAAGACCTGTCCCTCTTCAGCTATGACATTTGGAAATACAGAAAGAAAATAAGAACTGAGGAGGTGAAAGGGCATACAAGGGGCACCAAGAAACATGACATCATACAGAAGTCACAGCCACAGAATGGCTGAAAAATAAAGGAAACCGGCAGAAGCATTTTGAAGAGGGATGAGCTTCTAGCTACTGCTGTAGCTATAGCGGTTCTTATCTCTGGGAGTCCATTCCAGTAGCCAGTGGATGCCTAGAGCCATGGATGATATCGAACTCTACACACTTAGAGTAGATTTATATAATTTATAAAATTAGGCAATGTAAGAAGCTAGCAATAATAACTAATAACAAAATAGTATAATTACAACTATGTATTGTGAATTTGCTCTGTGGATGTGATCCATCTCTCTTTCAAAATGTCTGATCTGAACAAAATGGGTCTCGTTGGCTTAAAATCAGGGAACTGGCAAGTCTGCCTTCCTTTGGAAGGCTCTAAGGAACATTCATATCCTTGACCTTTTAAAAAACTTCTTGGGCCTGCCTCATGGCTTGTCTTGCCCTCTTCTTCCATCTGCAAAGTCAGCAGTTTCCTACTGCTGTGTCACCTTGATTCTTCCCTCCTCTTCTCTGTCCCTTCCCTCTCATGCATACACTTGTGTTCCCATTGGCCTAGTTGTATCCCCTAGGACCCTAATTTAACTACACCTTGCCAGCCCCTCTTGTCATATGAGGTGGCACACGCACAGGTTCCAGAGGTAGGAACATGCCCTTCTTTGGGCCTGTTATTCTACTTACTATACAATCTGTCACAGAATTTCCAGTAGAGAGGGACTTTAAAAAACAACAAATTCACAAGGTGTGCAAAACTTTTTGTATAGTAGGTAGAAGAAAATAATGTTGAACGTGACCCTATATGTAGACTGGGAGGAAGCAAGAGAAGCATGGACCAGAGGCAGAGGCCAGAATTACCAATGAGGCTTAGGAATTGACTGCAGAAAGGAATTTGGGCAGAAAGTGAAGGAGAACATTTACAGGGGGGAGAAGGATGTGATGCAGTGGTGGTTGCAAACTGAGAGGCAGTGAAGGGGATCTTGGGGCTCATGCATGCTTCTCCCACATGGCTTTGACACGCTGCTGTGCCCACCACACATCTCTACTTTGTCTCGCAGGCATGCAGCTTTTATCCTGGACGAAAACATCTTCCAGGGGAGGGAACTCATCAACAGTCGCTCGCTGCAGGCTCTGATGGCCGGCCTGAAAGCCTACAGTACCTGGGAGACCATCAGCTGCCTACAGGACTGTCGCGAGTGCACCGGAGGCATGGTGAGTCCCGAAGCTGAGCAGGCCTGTGGGCGCCACGGTCACCAGATCTGCAGGACTCTGCAGGGTACAGCATGTAGGGGGGAACAAAATGTGTCAGGCAAAATAAGTCTTTGAATCTAAAGGAAAGTGTCACTGTCCCCAGACTCTGGGAACTTAATATTAGCTGTGACCTGTGCTTGTCCTCTTGTATGGTGTGGCAAGAACTGGTGTGGACCACGTTGGTAAAATGCTTGGCATGCGGTGGCTGACCATGAAGATCACTGGTGAATGTCACTGAACTTGAAGGTTGCAGTTGACAGGTTGGAAATGGGCACCAACACTGCAGATGCTCAAAGCTCTGCTCCATTAGTCCCATGGGGAGAACACAGGAACTGACTCCAAGAAGGAAGAATGGTGACTGCCGACACTGGAGGAGTACACTTGTGCCAGGTCCTCCAAGGTGGCCAGGGCAGTGGCTCGTTATGGCCTCCCTGAGGGACCTGACAAGTTAGAAGGCCGGTTCCCACCAGAAGCCAGGGGAGGTGGTTGTCCCTCCAGATAGGAGGATGACAGCAGCTGGGAACTGAACTGCGGGATTCTAGAGTGAGGCCAGGTGAGCAGGTGGCAGGTGAGATCTGTAGGGATCCCTCAGGCAGGGGCTGCTCACAAGGTGGTGATCAGGACACAGATAGAATTCTACACTGGCTTAGACAGTGTCCTTCTGAGAGATGCCTGAACCCCAAGGTCTGCTCACCCTCCTGTGATTGTCTGGTCACCATCTAATCCCCCTCCCTTCCCCCGCCCCCTGCTCATTCTCTACCATGGTTTGAATGTGATTTTTGTTTCCACTAAAGCTCGTGCTGGACCTTGGCTCCCTGACGGATTGCTATGGAGTGACGGGCTGTTAGGAACACTTGGGATCATGAAGGTTCTCATGAGTAAATTTTTCTTGATAGATGGAATGATTAGTTCTTCTAGAAGATGGGAGGGAGGTACAGATGGAAGTTATGAGCTCCACATCACGGCTTGGTCTTTCTGGTTACTGACCTCCATTCTGAAGCTTTCTGGAGGAGATATCTCATAAAGACAAAACGTGCCTTCAATGACCAGAAAATTTCATGGAATTTAGGATATCTGTGTCAGGAACCAGAGTCAAAGACCAAATATTAGAACAAAGGGTGTTCCCAGCACTCTACTATTTGGGAAATCACAAAGGTTTTAGGAGACCTGTGCCATGATGTGGGGGTAGAGAACCAACATATACATGCCTTATTACACAGGAGCTCTGGGCCTGGACCAACTAAAATTCTATTTCTTATTGTATCAGAGGCGTTGGCCCCCTCACACACAGACGAAGGTGGGGTGTGGTATAACTGAGGACACCAGATGAGTTGTGAGTCTGAATGAGGGGACAGAGGAGGGAAGAATTGATGAGATGAAGCTGGAATTAGGCTGGAGAAAAGGACCAATGGGTCCCGGGCATTGTTGTCTTTGGGAACTCTCCAGGGCACCACACACAGCACACTGTGTCCACAGAGGCAAAGCCTCAGCATGTGGCCTGGAATGCAGTGACCAGCAGTGTCCGCTGGTCTCTCTGGCTGCTCCTTTGTGGAGGAGAGCACTGGACAGTGAGAGCTGGGGACAAGCTCTTCATCAGCTCCCTCTAGCCTGAGGCTGGCAAGGGTGTGCAGCATGCAGAACGCACTAAAGACTAAGCAGTGGCCAACTGATAGACGAGTGGACAGACGGACTGATGGACAGAGGGGAGTAAGTAATGAAAAGAGAGAGTGGATGTCCTGTGTACCCGTTCTTCTCCAGAAACCTTGCCTCCTCCCGTCATTTTGTGCATTGTTATTATTTTACTTCAGATACTTAAACATTTTGGAGTGTGTGTTCATGGGGTGTGTGTATGCATGTGTGTGCACAGAGAGACAAGTGGTTGATACTGCTCTCTTTCTCAAACATTTTGGAGTGTGTGTTCATGGGGTGTGTGTGCATGTGTGTGCACAGAGAGACAAGCGGTTGATGCTGGTCTCTTTCTCAATCTCTACCCTCGCCTTTTGTTCACTAGTTAAATTTATGTCTGGACAGTGTTGTTTATGGCTGTGAGGCCTTGGCTGCTCACTCCCACCGTTGCCGTCCTTCATCTCCCTGCCTCGGCTCTTCATGCCTCCTCTTCCCCACAAGTCCCTTTCCTGCAGGTAGGTCTTTCTGTTTTGTGACCCACTGACCTTCACCAAGGCCACCTGTATAGTTATGATTGTAGAACTATCCTTTGGAATCTGGTGGGTCCACAACAGTTTCTCCTTCCCCAACATCCATCCATAGCCCATATTACCCCAAGGAAAGGTAGGGCCCTCTGAGTCCCTCTCCATCCATGGACAACTGTCGAAGAGTCCAGTTGTGTGCAGGCCCAGGGTAGGTGATTTCAGCTGCTGTGGGCTCATGAATTCTGTGCCACACTCAGAAAATAGTGAGTTTTTTTTCAGCCCTTCTCTCTATCATTTGGTTCTTATAATCTTTTTAAACCACCTTTCCTGGATATTTCCTGAGTCTGAATAAATGATATAAATATCTTGTTTAGGACTGAGCTCATCAATCATGGCTAGAGCAACCATCAGTCTCTCTGTTCACTGCAAAGAGAAACTTCTCTGATGCAGGCTTAGAGTAGCATATATCTATGGGTATAAACATAAATATTTAGAAAGCAGTATTATGTGATGTCAAATTATGAAAGTAACAGTAGTGAGTCTTTCCCCCAACCCCAGGGCCTATGACATCCCGAGCCATGAGTTTTTGAACAGGTTTATAGTATACTGTACCAGGCATGAATTCTCTTCTGTGGCCTTAAATCTATTCAGGGCTTTGCCATTTACCCACCACAATAGCCATGACACTATTGTACCAGGGATTGCATTTTGCCTGGCAGGTTAGTATGATGGATTGAAGGATTCCCATCCGTGTAGGGCTGTTTGTCACTTTTCTCCTCTAGCATCTTGCATAGCCCCTCCCCGCAGGCAGCAGGCAGGCTAGTCAGCAGAAAGGGGACTTCTCTCCATCCTGCTACCAGGTGTGATCGCTGACTTAGCTAGACAGGCTGGCCAGTGAGCTCCGAGATTCATCTCTCCAGTGCTGAGATTAGAGGTGCCCACACAGCTCTCTGCACGGGGGGTGGGATTAGAGGTGCCCACACAGCTCTCTGCACAGGGGCTGGGATTAGAGGTGCCCACACAGCTCTCTGCACGGGGGCTGGGATTAGAGGTGCCCACACAGCTCTCTGCATGGGGGCTGGGGTTCTGGACTCGGCCTCTCAGGCTTGTCCTGCAGACACTTTACTGACTGGGGCATCGTTACTTTTTAGGGCGCAAACAGCAGTCCTGGGCTTTGGTTAGTCGGCCGCTCATTGTGGGGAATGACAAATCTGATGTCATGACTAGCATGAGAGTGGAAAACGTGAGGAGAGGAGGGAAAGTCATACAATGTGCCAGGATTTGAACCTATCTGGTACTGATCTTTGCCTCGTCCCTCACCCACGAGCAGTTCTTCTAACCTGTGGATGCCACCCCCCCGCCCCACCTTTCCTACTTGTCACCTAGTATGAATGTCACCTAGGGAGGGCAGCTTATTTCCTCAGTGAAGCCATTGTATCGCCACATGTGTTAGGTTACCTTCCCTAATAACAAGAGCAATACACACCCACTGTAGAAGTTTTTGAAAATACAGAAAAACACAGAGAAGAAAGTAAGTGTTCTCTCCACCTATGCTTCCAAGCTGTAACTGGTTTCTGAGCCTCATTATTTGTATGCACTGTGTGTGTTTAGGGTTTTATGTCCGCTCTTCTCATCCATGAATGGGCAGGGACGTTGCTTCTGATCTCACTTGTGCAGTAGTTTCCATGACTGGTATCATTCATGATGTAGGTGTAACACAATTCAACTAGCCAACCTTCAGGTATGTAAAAATTGTCATGATCATAAAAATATTCTAGCACCTAACTTTGGTGGTGATTTTTTTTGAAGGCAAAACATCCAATTTTTATTACTTTAGATACAACGGTTTGATTGTCTCAGTTCATCTGTGCTTCAACATAGTAGATTTTCAGTGACTTGTGATGGTTACAAAATGTCAGGCACATTTTGGGAGCATTGATATTTGTCATAATTAAAGCAATATTTCAAACATTAAATCAATAGCTATCAAAAAAGAAAGTGGTTATTTTAAACAATGTCAACTTCCTTATTCCAGACTTGAGAAAGGAGAAGAGGGGAGGGGCGGGGAGGGAAGGGAAGGGGAAGAAGAGAAAAGAGAGAGGATTAATCAGTTCTGTGGTGTATATGTGTCTCATTTACCACCTCAGATGGTGGTGGTGATTTTTGTGCATATTCTATGTCCTTGGGATCCTGTATTTAAACAAAACCGACACCGTGAACAAAGGGTGTGCTTATTTCTGCTCCCACCTGCAATCAAACACTGTGTGTCTAGATCAGTGGCTGATGGAGGAAGGTCATTGGTTAAATTAACTGCCTTGGCCCTGATAGGTTAAAACATAGGCGGGTGGAGTAAACAGAACAGAATGCTGGGAGGAAGAGGAAGTGAGCTCAGACTCGACAGCTCTGCTCTCTGGAGCAGAGATGCCATGCTCCCCTCTCCCGGGCAGACGCGATAGCTCTGCTCTCTGAGGCACACGTGATGAAGCTCCGACCCAGGATGGACATAGGCTAGAATCTTCCTGGTAAGCACACCTCGTGGTGCTACATAGATTATTAGAAATGGGTTAAGAGGCTGAAACTAATGGGCCAGGCAGTGTTTAAAAGAATACAGTTTATGTGTTGTTATTTCGGGGCATAAACTAGCTAGGAGCCGGGCAGTGGGAAGAGGCTCGCAGCTCCCACATCAAGTGGCTTTCAAGTTCTCTCGGACGTGACCCCAAATAAAATGTACACTTTTCATTAAAATCCAAAAATTACACACACACACACACACACACACACACACACACACACACACGTAATGACACTGAT